AGCCATTACCAGTGAAGATCAAGAAAGCTCAATGAGCGAATAACAGCTTTGTAGGATGACAGAACTAAATGAATGACTGTCTTTTTGACCCTTCCTAACGTGTGATGGCAGATTGATTCATCTGCTTCATGAACTCAAACAGGCTCTGTTGCTACTGTGGGCAGAGTCACTCTAATTCTGCAGCTGTGAAATGAAAATTACACTTTGTTATTTTGCCACAGAGCATAAAAATATATACACGGGCACAATATGTAGGGGTTAAAAAAAAATGACCAAAACTAACGTGATATAATTCCACAATATTTTAAACTGCTAATACAACATTTTCCCCTAAAAATATGAAAACAGTTTCAAGTGATTTTGCAGGTATTACTCTTAGGCAAAAACAATCTTGATCGGTGAAGCCAGTAAATTTTGTTTTGACATGAATGTTGGAAGCAACGGCGAGACTCCAGCTGAGGTAATTAATTCTCCTCCCTCTGCCAGGGGCCAATTCTCAGATCTGGGACCTGCAGTCTGGAAAAAATAAAAAAACACCATCCTAGCATATGTGTGCAGAGGATGTTATGGATTACTTCACATTTAATAACACATCAAAGTCAAAGGAGATTTGTATGAGCAACAGCTGCCATGCTAGTGGTCAGCCCTGCTGAGCTAGCTAGAGTGATTAGTGTCTTCATAGTCGCTGAATGAAGCAGAGTTTCCTCCTGTTGCTGTTGTTGAAACAAAGCTTCCTAAAAGCGGTTATTTTATAACTTTAAGTTTCAACCACAGGTTAAACTGGGATTTAAAAATCTAATACTCCAATATACCAGTATATTTTTTCTTTCTAAAGAACAACTCCAATAGAGTTGTTCATCAGACTAATAATGACTCCTAACAGTTATGAAGGGTAGTTATTTACTCATGTTTGCTCTGCCCAACTCGGCTCAGATTGAATGGATATGTTCAGTGTTGGGGAGTAACGGAATACATGTACCGCCGTTACGTATTTAAAATACAAAATATGATTAACTGTATTCCGTTACAGTTACCGTTTAAAAAGGTGGTATTTAGAATACAGTTACTTTGTTGAAATAAATGGATTACACGGCGGTACTTCCCTGTTTCATATTGTCGCGGGTCAGGACTGTTTGGGTTTTGTTTGACAGCTACGTTCTGTTGTTCCAGGTGGCAGCGCTACGGTTGCCATGGTTACAGAGTGACGCTCTCTCTCTGCGCGTTTCCTGGGTGAGAGAGGCCTTTTTGTTGTTGTCGTGCTAAGCTAATAGGCAGAATGCTACAGGTATAGCTCTAAAGAATGTAGCATCATAGGCAGTGTAGTCCGTGCTGCAGGGAGAATGGACTGCCATACACGTTATGTGTCTGTGAGCGAGGGAGGGAGAAAAAGGAAAAGTACGAGCTGTCATGGAGCAAAAACGGGAGCTGGAAGCATGTAAATATAATAATAACCACTGCAGCCAAGAAGAGAGCCTGACGAGCCCAGTTGTAAGTAAGCTATTAAGACTCGACTGTACACCGTGTTCGTGTTTTCCTCTGAAACAATAAGTTCCGTTAGAGCAGCCTTTCAACGTCTCTCTCTGTCTGTCGCAAGCAAAGTTGACCCAGACAACAAAGTAAAGCTAGTTTTCGGCTACGAGCCCGACACAGACATTAGCCAGAGGTCCCTTTACTACGGTTCGGAGCCGCGGACCTTCAGTAACAGTAATAAATCACAGCAATAGTACATTCACGTAGTTGTAAACAGCATGATAATATATTAAGTAATCCAAAGTATTCAGAATACGTTACAAAACACATTTTGGGGCATGTATTCTGTAATCTGTAATGGAATACATTTTAAAAGTAACCTTCCCAACACTGGGTATGTTTGATTAATTTTCATTTCATTTTTATTTATTAGTCATTATAAGTGTCAACTTAACTGGCCAATTGCTTATATCTGTTGATATCATCAGCCCAGCAGTATATCAGTCGGGCCCTCATTGAAGGAAGCTTCATGGTTTTAGGAAATCTCCTCCTGTGTGTGTTTTCTAATATCAGCGCCATTCTTCCCCTACTAGCTGTCCATTCTAGGCTCAACGGAGGCAGTTAATAGATCAAGTAACGGGTTGAGTACTCCAATAGTGAGACAAAAGGGAAAAAAAGTAAAAAATCATCTCTCCATCCACTGGTAACTTGCAATTTCCAGCTACTGTACTTCCATACTAATGCATTTTTTTCAGACTTTAATTCTATTTTATTTATATAACTCCAAATCACGACAGCAGTCACTTCAAGGCACTTTATATTGTCAGATAAAGACCAATAATGCAACGAAAACCCTAAAAATCCGATGAGCCCCTATGAGCGAGCACTTGGCGAATGTGGGAAGGAAAAACTCCCTTTTAACAGGAAACTTCCAGCACAACCAGGCTCAGGGCGGAGCCACAATCTAATGTAACTAGTTTGGGGTGAGGGGAAGGAAAAAGGACACTGTGGAAGAGAGCAAGGAATTAATAATAACGCAAACAAATACAATCGTTCTGGTGTGATTTGTCTGCACTTTGTTAGACATTTTGCAAACCATCACATTTACTTTAAATTTAATTTATCTTAGATTTTTAAATATCAATATTGTGCACACTCTTCCCAAGCACCTCTTCAAACAGCTGTTTTCTTCAAAATGCCATTTCCTCTAATATTCTGAGCCACAAATCTCCACTTCAGTAGCACTTACAAACTTTCCACTTGGATTCCTCTATGTAATCTAAAGCTTTACACCGAGGACTCGTTCATATATCATTCAGTGACTGATGGAATATTTTATTTCCAGAAACATGTCAGAAATTGACTTCTCTGTCTGTTGACTGAATCTTCCGATTCATGGAATAATAAAGAAGTCGTATCCAAAAGCTTCACTGTCAAAACCTGTAACTCTAACAAAATGAAAAAAGAATTTAGAGCCTGGATTTACATCACAATATTCACAGGATGGCAGGAAAATGCACAAATATTGAGGTTTACATGTTTTATTTGCCCCTGCTTGGATACTTTACCAACATTTCTGAAAACTTCTATTGCAAAAAATATTTTTTAAGTAATTAGTCGCCAAGAATTCATCATGATATGGTTTAGTTGATGTCTTTTTACCTTCTTGACCAGCAAAAGCCCACAAAAAAAGAAAAAAGGATTAGTGGAGGTTTAAATTCTAAGACTTAAAAAGCATTTTCATTATACGCCTCCAAAGAGACATCAATGCAAACAAGGTCAAAAGTCTTTTATGAGGCTTCGAATTCATTAAAACTCCCGTTATTCCTGCGCTTTATGAATGAATTTTAAAAAATGATTGAGTATCGAACACTTGCAAAGCTGAGATAACCTATAGCTGCTCACTGTTACTGCTACTAACAACCTACACCTTTCTCATTGTTGTTATGTGCATGCACTTGGGTGATCTCACATAAATCCCAGCATCCCACGGCCAGACCTTTGTAACTGGTCTAAATCAGCCACAGCGTGTGGGCGTACTGGGGTTTTGTTATTGCACGTGGGATTAACCTTTTTCAGAAAACAAGCTCAGGTGTAATTCCTATCAAGGTTCCATTACTGTCGCATATTGAGAAACAGTTTCTCCATCAAATGAAAATGTTACATCCACAAGATGTTCATTTTTCTAATTGGAATAACAAGATGGCTCCGGCACACGTTTATCTGTTGTCCATCGCTGCGTGTGATCCCGGCAACGTCTCGATGAGACGAAAAGAGTCTGATAGTCTAACAATGCAGATTTCCCTAATGTACACAAACAGAAGGAAGCAGGGAGGAGATGTCAATATTAGCAGTGCTAATAGTCTCAACTGCTACTAATGCTAATGACCATAATGCCTCAGCAGTATAGAAAATTACAAGCTACACTCACTGGCCACTTTATCAGTTACACTGGTAATATCAGGTCGGACTCCTTTTTAACTTCAGAAAAGCTTTAATTCTTCATGCCGCTGTTCTGTAACACCCCAAAGGCGCTCTATTGGAGATCTGATGACTATGGAGGCTATTTGAGTGCATTTGATAACTCACTGATATATTTAAGAAACTAGTTTCAGATGATGTGAACTTTATGACATGGTGCGTTATCCAGCTGGGATCACCCATCAGAAGACGGGTACACTGTGAGGACAGTTAGCAGCATGGTCAACAACATTACTTCAGTGGGCTGTGGCGTTTAAATGATATCCAGATAGTACCAAAGTGCCGCAGGAAATATCCCCCCACACCATTACACCAATACCAGCCTGATAATGCATGATGGGTCCATCCTTTCATGTTGCTTACTCCAAAATCTGACCCTGCCATCTGAATGTCGCGGCAAAAATTGAGACTCCTCAGACCAGGCAGCATTTTTCCAGTCTTTTATTGCCCAATTTTGCTGAGCCCGTGTGAAATGGAGCCTCAGTTTCCTGCTCTCAGCTGGCATGTGTGGCAGCTTGTCTGACAACAGTAACCGTCCCATGTTTAACCCTTTAAGACCTACCACAGAACCAAGTCCACCAGAGCTTATATTATATTTTTACATGCTGT